AATTCTAACGTGCCCGAATGTGAACAAATCTGCATGGTCGTTCAACCAGAAAAAAAAAAGAAATAAAAATCTGAAATGATCCAAAACAAAACACATTTTTTGCAGGGTTACATGTCTATCTGAAGTAGGGATACACCGATACCGATACTAGCATCGGTGCCGAGTATTTGGCGAGTACTTGTCCAAATGCTCCGATGCCTAGCCCGATACTTGTGGTATCAGAAAGCCGGGCAGCGCGTCATTACACGCTGCATGGCTTCCTAATTGGCCGTCATTAATGCTCTCTCGTCACTTGTAACGAAGGAGCATGGAGCCGGCTTCCCAGCCAATCAGGATGCTGAGCAGCAGGTAATGACACGCTGCCCTGTTTCCTGATTGGTCGGAAGCTGGCCAATCAGGAAGCCAGGCGGCGCGTCATTACACATGAGGTGACAAAGGAAGCATGGAGCTGGCTTTCCGGCCAATCAGGAACCCGGGCGCCGCGTCATTACACAGCGCCTGGCTTCCTGATTGGCCAGAAAGCCCATCCATGTTTTCTCGTCACCTAGGGACGAGAAGCATGGGGACAGCTTCCCTGTTAATTGGGAAGCAGGGTGGCGAGTCTTTACACGCTGCCCGGCTTCCTGGCTAATCAGGAAGCCAGGTGGCGAGTCATTCCATGCTGCCTAGCTTCGTGAATGGGACTTCGGACACTTGGTATTCGGTATCGATGAGTACCGGAAAAAAAATATCAGTACTTATACTCGATTGAAATACCGGTATCGGTGCATCCCTAATCTGATGCAAATTTTTGGCCAAACAGTGACATGGTGGTAGGGTAATTGGTCAGGATGTATGTATGTGACATAGGGACCTTAGATTGTAAGCTCCTTTAGGGCAGAGACTTCTGTGCATGAATAGTAAGTAAACGCTGTGTATATTGATGGAACTATATAAATGCCAGTAACGAGACCATGGTGTTTAGGACCATCTAACAACAAGGGGGGCAAAACCTTAACCACTTCAGCTCTTGCAACTATATTCCCCAACTATATTCCCTTTTCCCTAGAAAATGTGTCAAATTTAACAGGAAGGGATGTTACTGCTATGTTGGAAGTCTGGTTTTCTGCACACATAGTATGAAGTATTGTAGGAAAAAACAAAGTGATCTGCTTATTACTCTGCCTCTGTATTCAGCATCTGTGGAGGCTTGGTGTCATGTTAAAATGGACTTTTGCCCCCTTTCACTAAAAATCCCCTCAGCATGCAGCTCTGCACGCTGATACAAATATGAATGTAAGATGATTTTGTAACAAACATATTTTTCTTTTACTTCCATGCATCGCTTTTCCAATTTCTGGTCCTCTTGGGGATTTGAGATGTAATGTGCCCAAGGGAAGGTTACATGAGCAGAACATTGCTGGGAAGGTTACATGAGCAGAACATTGCTGGGAAATCTCATCTGTAATCTCAGGGAAAGGCATTTTTCACCCCTGAGATGATGTGCATGGTCACGTGTCCTAGCCATATTTGCCAGAAGTAAACGGGCACTGTGAGAAGAATGGGGAGGAAAAGAAAAATAAGGTATGCAAAAAATAAAAAGCCTAAAATTACCTAGAAGTATCTGTTTGTAAATTGTCATTACTAAACATTTTTTTGTCCTTATCAAAGATAAGGGTAAAGTTCCTCTTTAATTGTTAAAACATTGTGAAAATGGAGAGCGCTCACAGAGATACAGTTCACTCCAATATTAATACAACTTCTTCATTATACTTATACAAAATACAGTAGCAGAGGTAGGACATCAGAAGAAAAATTTCATTCTTCCAGTGAGAAATTTCACAGTATGTAAACCGCAATGTTGCATTGTCTTTGACCAATACAATAAAAAATGACATCTACACTTTAGTAATAATACATTTTCCCCGTAACCCTGTATTGAATAACCACCCTGGAGTGAAGTTCAATATCACAAAAAACTTAGAAACCAATGGTACTAAAATCTGTTGATGCAAATACCAGAATTTGGTAATCTTCATTTAACATCATCTGACTTTATCTACATCAATGCTATAAGGAAGCAACTGTAATTGTCTAAACCCAGAGTGTGCCACTGCGGCACTTCAACAGCTGTGACAGTACAAGTCTCATAATGCGTTGCATGACTCTCAGAGGCAAAACCACGATGGGGTTTGTAGTGTTACTCCAGCAGGAGTGCCAGGGTTGCCTACCCCGCTCTATACTATTGGGCATGTAACTACAAATGAAAGTGTATGTAAACCCTATCAGTGAGCTTCTCTTTTTTGCTCCCTTTGGTCTGTTTAATATTCCATGGAATACATTTAGTTATATCTGTTTGATAAGTGAAAAAAATACCATCATTTGTTACATTGTTTTTCTCTCTTTGGACTACAGAACGACAGAACCCTGTCCCCCATGTTAAACAGAAAAGGGGAGTAAATATTTTATGTAGTCCTGCCCTAGAGTGACAATGTTGCTCTTCCATAGACACAATACAGTAAGCGTTGTCACCCTATCACATCTAAGGGCTGCTAAGCTACAATATATTATATGTTTGTCCTTGGGTTTAGATACTTTCTCTTTCTAATGTTGATTTTTAATTAGCTATTAGGCATAAAGCAGATTGATCAAACAGCATCTTCCTCCTCTTCCAGGGTCCATACAGTAGCTGCTGTTAACTTAAGGTGCCCATTCACCTATCATTATTGTTTCGGAAATCTCTACAAATGGTCTTTCGAACGATAATCGATCAGTTGATGGGAACCCAATGATTTTTTTTACTGTACTCCTGTGCCGAATTTTCTCAAAGGGTGAGGCTGGAAAACCTTTTTCAAATCGAACGGAAATCGATGGATTAGTGGTGTTTTCATACGGAAAAAATAGCAGCAAGAACAGTGCACATGCGCAAATGAAAATCTGTTCTGTCGATTGGCGAAATTCGGTGAGTTAGTATTGCTAATGAACGATTATCGAAATCAACATTTGTCTGTGCTTGATGGGGTATTTGAGCTAGAATGGAAAGAGGGTACATTTCTGATTGAAAACCTATAGGTGTATGACCAGCTTTACAGGGTTGATCACAAAAGGGTGAAGGAGAAGGCCGAAGAAGTGAAAAATCTAGGCCAAAATTGTTGATTTGGAAAAATTCTCCAATTCAGCTCACTTTCTAGTTCAGCTATGTTATCCTAGATTGTTCACGTCTCCGGCCTTCTCCAAACTCTTCACCCCGGGTCACGAACAAGATAGGGACTGTAGGTGTTACGTACCTTATGGGAGACCGGATGTGAGAGGAGGCTTCCCTTGCACCTTGTGCCCTGGAGGACTCTGGGGATGGGAACGGGGACCAGAAGGACAACAAGTGGCAGGAGTGCCAGTGGTGTTGAGCACCATGCAAGCCGTAATCCGAAGAGACGAGCCGAGGTCAAATCCAAGCGGGCAATCCAGGTACAAAAAGGGTTAGGCAAAAGAGTAGTCAAACAACAGTTCCGAGGTCAAGGCAGGCAGAAATTAAGGTTAGTCAAGGAAGTCCGGGTCACAAGAAACAGGCAAGTTTCACGAATCACAGGAACAAGGAATAGCTGATGATAATCCAGCAACATGCTGGTGCTGTTGCTGAGCTTATATAGGGGAAGTGATGTCTTGTTATGAGTCACTTCCTGTGCGCCACTATGGTGCGTTTCCATGCTGGTAGTTTACCGCTTCTGCGCATGCGTGGAATGGCGCGGTCCCAAATAGTGCGGGAACGCGCACCTGGCGCATGCGCAGTAAGCGGGGATCCATTACAATAGGTTTGTTCTTAAGTTGAATTTGTATGTAAGTTAGAGCAGGTAAATTTCCTGCCAAAAACTTTTTTTTTTTTTCGGACAGCATAGGGAAGGGTTAACCCCCTGTAAAGTTTGTTTTGCTGTGTGTGCCCATGTTCAGAAGATTTCACCTCACTTTCTGTCCCTGTGACAACTGGATTTTGAAAATGTTGGGTTGTTGGGGAAACAAGGATTGGTGAAAAAGCTTCAGTGAAGACACCTTTTTCCCATGATCACTCTTGCAGGAGTGAATTTCTCTTCCTAGAGGTAGATTTCCTTTCACTTCTAGTTGTCTCAAGGACAGGAAGTGAGATTAAATCTTTCTAATGAGGATACAGACAGCAGTAAAAACCTCACAGTGACCCGGAAGAAGAGGCGGGCACCCTTCGTCTGCACGTCTAACAAGAGCCAACTTCCTGTAATGTACGTACAGTACTACCGTGTTTCCCCCAAAATAAGACAGTGTCTTATTTTTTTTTTGCACGAAATAAGACACTAGGATGTAGCATTAGAACTATCCCTGCTGTACAATAATAGCCTCCGTTTGTAAGTAGGAGTCGGATGTATGTAACTCGGGGACCGCCTGTATCATGCATTTAGTGTTTTGTACATCAAAATTAATACACAATCCTATTTTTCATCATTTGAACATCAACATGTATTTATACCCACTGTAAAGGGCTCTATGATGTCATATTAAACAGGACTGCACTGGAATAATAGAAGCTCAGCAGTGGTCATCAGAGACATCATGGTGGATATGCTGAAGGAATAGAACTAGGCCGGTTGGCTTTTTATGCAGCTTCTACAGTAGTCACCTTCACTATCTTTTGGATCTGCAGAGCTGCCAATCAATGCCTACCTGCTTAATAGCCATTTATTTATTACAGGTATTTATATAGTGCCAAGAAATGTACGAAGCACTTTACATAGTTGCACATTCACATCAGTCCCAACCCTCAAGGAGCTTACAATCTAAGGTCTCTATCTCATAAGCATACATAGAGGGCCAACTTAGAGAGGAGCTCTAAGTTATACCAGCATGTCTTTGGAGTGTGGGAGGAAACCGGAGTACCCCGAGGACCCCCAGGGCTGCTAGGCAGAAGCGCTAACCAACACTGTACACAAAGACTAATCCACATAAAAAAGTATCTTTCCATTTCTCTTTTTTCATATACTAATTACTACAAACTGTCCTAATGAAATGTTGACCATGGAAAATAAGTCCAAGAATCCAGCATCACTGCTTTGTCTTGGCAGTATCACAATGGGTTCCTGAAGAATGTTTCTTGGGGTCATCATTTGCGTTGCAAGGCAGAAAGTTTCCGCAGTCCTTTCAATCGCGCTAACAGTTCCTTTGTGAATTCCTGAAAACAAAAATGAAAGTCTAGGAAACTGGGATAAATGTTAAACATTTATGAGCTGTGGAGAGCAGCAACAAAGGTGGAAATTATTTTCAGATGAAAGTTCCCTCACTTTATTTCTTGTCTATTTGATGTATTTTAATGCGCTTACAGAATCTACTGTGTAGTGAATCTGACTGATTTGTCACAGCCTCTTCCTAATACAAATCAATGTACTGTACCATAGGACACAATTTAACCAGTTCAGTACCGGCATGTTATACCCCCTTCATTACCAGGCCATTTTTTAGTTTTCAGTGCTGTGCAAGTTTGTCTGAGAATTACTCCGTCACACAACACTGTAACAAAATTAATTTTATATCATTTTTTGGGGGACAAATAAAGCTTTCTTTTAGTGGTATTTAACTGTTTTTTTTTTATATATATAAAAAAGAAAAAAAAGTCTGTAGTCCAAAGAGAGAAAAACAATGTAACAAATGATGGTATTTTTTTCACTTATATATATATATAAAGTAAAAAAGGCCAAAACATTTGAAAAAAAGCCTGTTTCTCTTACATTCGTTTATAAATCATAGCAAATAAAAATGTCAGGATAGTATGAAAACCCCAGAAATTAGCCCTTTAGACACCAAGGTGATCTGATTTGTTGCTGCAATTTTTGGGTACTGAAGGCACATGTTGGTATTGAGGGGGTTAAAACTTGGTACTAGTGCGCAAGATACAATAAATGTACAGATCATAGAGAGAGGGAGGAGGGGGTGAATGGGTTAATGTACAGGTCACATTCTGTGGGAGGATGAAGATGAAGGGATTAAGGTATAGATGTGCAGGGGAAGGGTTAATATGCAGATCAGAGCAGAAACAGAATGCAGATAACAGAAGCAGGAGAGGGGGAAGGGTTCAAATTATTGGAAACTTTATTTATTGCTGCTACTACAGCTTGTTTTCACTAGTAAGTAATGAATGGATGACTCATTCATTCATTACTCCCTTTACTCTCCGCTGCCTCTGATGTAAGAGGAAGGGGAGGGTTTGGGATCACTGTAATAACCAATCACAGTGATCACAAGACACAGAGCCTATCAGCTCTGTGTCTAAAGCAATCTAATGACAGTGGGAACAGCGGCTTCAGCAGTCACGCACACACAGGCATTCACGGGAGGATCTACACTTATGTTGTCCCGGAACAATCGGACTGGCCATATACTGTATATATATATAAATATACAGTGGCCGGTCTGCAAGTGGTTAAACCTTGAAAGGCAACCGCCTCAATTTCCTCATTTTGGGTAGAATGGCATAGGGTTTTATCCTTTGCTGGGCCTCCACTGTTGTCTGAAACCTTGGTAAGTTATTTTTCTGCACAATTGTGACAGGGTATAAAGTTTCAGCTCAACTATTATTGTCACCAGCCTACAAGAATTCTCTGTATATTCTTTTAGAGAATCCATTAGAGGCTGCAGAACACAGATATACTCTAGGTGTATATGGAGTTCTCCACCACGCAATGACTAAAAAGCTGATGCCAGTTTGCCACATCTGTGCTAGTGTTAGTGGGACATCTCATGGACACCAAAAAGGATCTGTTGCTGGTCTACTTAACCTAAAAGATAGAGTAGAAAAGACCCACTTTAAAATTTACAAGAAGAATAATTTGGGCATCTACAGCAGTATGTTTATATTTGTGTATTGTCACACAAGCTACTATTGCTATATTTATGTATTTAGTATAGGCATCGAGCAACAGATCTGGACCTGGACAAATGTTAGTGGGTTTGGTGCATTTTATTTTAATTTTTTGTAAGGTTTAGGAACTGATATTGTATATTATTATTTTGTTTATTATTATACTTATTTTACATATAAACATTTTTTACAGGGTGCGTTGATGTTTTAATGTGTGCAGTGAAAGCTGGGCTCTCTAAAGAAAGGCCACATTAGTGTTACACTTAACTGCACTGGGATCCTGCTATTCAGATTTGTATTCGCAGTATAGTAGTAAACAAACTATCTGAAAGGGTAAATATTAAATATTTAGAAGTAATTATTTATATAACCTGACCCAAAATAAACAAAACATATTATTAACAAATTTTCCCTTGACTGAAATAAATAGAGCAAAAATATATGAAAAAAAACACTATGCATCCCCTTTCAGATAACCAAAGCAAAATAAAAGAAATTCCATGACCATAATCCTCGTTTTCTTCATGTTCCATGAATGAAAAAGCCTTTCTGACAGTTAGAGGATCGATTGGATGCATAGAATTCATAATTCCTCCTTTTTTCTCTTCATAGAGTTCATTTTTAAATTGGTATAACTTACTTCTGCAGGCCTGGTACTTTCTTGAAGGATGTCCTGGGAAAACAAAAATATAAATATATATAAATATAAAGTATATTCTTTGTGTCATGCTTTCAGCAGGGTCCTTTTATATGTTTCAATCATGCATATTGATTCATGTATCTACACCATCTAGTGGCCAGTCCACATCACTATACAATAACATCAGTTTGCTCTTGAAGCAACGTTTTGACCCTCCATTATGTAACTCATAATAAGCATGTATAAAAAGTAAAGTTCCTTTATTGGTGCATAATAAAAATCGAAAATCAATTGCCAAAAGACAATGCACAAATAAAGGAACTTTATTATTGAAGAGAAGTATGTGCTGGCGACGTGTTTTACCCTCATTGAACATGGTACCATTGATTAGTGGTACAGTACTCCTAAAGGCAAGGTAAGATGCCTTTATCGGGTGCGATGGAGATAACTCTGTTAGTAGCCAGCTGCTCTTTGCTACATATTTATAAAAATGTTACACATGTCCTGCTTTATGTGCATTTAATACTGTCACAGTTCAGCTGCTGGCTTGCAGCTGAGCTGTTACTTGTAGTCCTACAAGTATATAGATACCTCTTACCCCTGGTTCTGCAGGCATGCAGGGCTGTGCTGGTGCTTGTAGTCCTTCAGGCATGTGCTCTGAACCTGACTCACACTTGCACCTGTCTGGCAGCTTTAGGCGTTGGCCGACCTCTCCTGCTGTTTCTTATACAGCTTCTCAGCCAATCAGCGCAGTCCGTGTGTGGCCAATCCTGTGGATCCTCCCTCTTCCTGTCTCTATTTAAACTCAGGGCAGCGAACAGCACAGGGCTCGAGCAACGCTTTCCCAAGCTAGTTGCCGAGTCCCCCATTTGTGAGTTACCCTGAATTCCTGGAAGTTTTCCCGTGTACCGAACCTTTGGCTTGTCCTTGGAAATCCCTGTCTACGGGCTTCCCTGTGCTTCCCTTTTTTCCTGGGAAATTCCTGTCTACAGGCTACCCTGTGCTTTGCTTCTGTCCTTGAAAATCCCTGTCTACAGTCTACCCTGTGCTTCGCTTTGTACCTGGAAGTCTTCAGCCTGTCCCTAACCTTTGATTCGTACCCTGTACATGTTAGGTGAGTTGGGTGGACCTAGGGATTGTGACCTGGGGTCAGCACGCAGCCAAGCCCATCTCCACCATCAGGAGCTCTGTCGAATACCGGCTGGCCCTTAGATTCCACATCCTGGGGGACCCCATGCCACCTACTCAGCATTGCAGCACCCTGCCTTGTATTTGAACTTCCAGCTGAAGCTGACTTTCACTGCCTCATTCAGTTCCCCTGCTATGTTCCCTGCTTGTACTCCAGCTCTGGGAGTCGTCAGCCTACACTGCTTGGACCCTTTTCTCTAAGTGTCCCTGCCAGTGTAGTGGAAAGGGTCCACATACCGGACTCCAGTTCATACCCGTGAGTCCGGATCCATGACAATTACCCATGATGCTGTTTTGTACTGTACAGTAATGGCAAACTACATGTGATCATATTACATTTCCTAATAAATATGCAAGATATTTTCATAAAGTCTTGCGTACTGGGTACTGGGTTTAACTGCATGTTAAGATGCATATAGACCACAGAGAAACTAGTGGAGAGGACAAATAAACATATGAAGACTTTTAAACCTACAGTGTGGAGTCTTCCTCCATTATTTGGAAGAACAAGCCATGTATAGTATGTTAGGCTCAGCCACTACGTACAAGCCCTGTGCCATTTTATGTATCATTGTGTAAGACTTCCATAATTTTGATATGTTTTATGAAAATGTAGGGTATATACAATGAGGGGAATTTATCAAAACTGGGGCAGACAAAACTGGAGCAGATGTGCATGGCAACCACTCAGTTCTCTCTTTCATTTTCAAATCTCAACAGAACAAACTGAAGAGAGAAGCTTATTGGTTTCCATGTATAGCTTCTCCAGTTCTTGTCTGCTCCAGTTTTGATAAATTCCCCCCATTATGTTTCTATAACCAAGAATCATTGGTCGTGACCACAGAGATGAAAATTAGTCAGTCAATTTACCTGTATGCTTAAATGTGTGGTATGAGTAAAAACGGACCTGAGCCTAATAGAGTTTACATATCAATGTATTTCTACTTAGAGAATGAAAGGCCTGGATTAATCTAGTTCAGTCTGGCAATAATTCATTTAGTCCAAGTTAGATAACCAGGGTAATCCAAATGTAGGTGATTTTCTTGGATCCCATTATCAAACAGCCTCAACCTAGTGATGCAATTTTCATAGGTTGGGGCATAAGACGTTCCTACATCAGTTTAGTCCTGAGCATGCTACGAAATGGAAATGTGGATGTTTCCAGAAGCAAAATTGGGTGCCCAATCAGAAAAGGTTAAGAAGCATGACTAGTTAAGATTCCACCAAAGGTATACAACCAAGATTCCTGAAGCATTGGACGGTGGGGTGGTGGGAGCTGGCCAGAATAAAGTGCTATAGGTACCACATCCTGTCTGAGCCATACCCAGCCTCAAAATAGGAGCGCTGGTTATTGACTTTTAAAGGTACTAGGGTTGAAACATCTCTGTATACCTCACCCTCATCTCAGCCAAACTGCTCCTGAAGAATAAGAGAAGAGATTCTTCCTCAACTCTCCTCACGAACCTGTTCGAGGATCCACGGAGAGATTCAGAATTTTTTTCCATCCCTCCCAACCACTCCGTGTGGTGCAGAACATGGCGGATGCAGACACCACATTGAAATCCTCCTCTGCAGTAATGGGCAGGGACAGCCCTGAAACATCTGCTCTCCCTAAGTCAGAAAGGTTGTCTCAATCCTCTGTAAGAGAACCAGCAGATATGACCTGGGACCGATGTTCCTACATTAGATCATCCACAAGAGATAATCTAGACTGGTATGTGCAGAGACTTGAAAATATATATAAGATGCAACTGAGCACTTTAAAAGCACAATTTAAAATCACCAAAACATAGGTATCCACACTTAAAACACAGTACTGTATACTGCTCTCACCACCACTTTAGCAACTCATTGGCACAAATTGAAAAAATTATGACCACAGAATCAGCATTGCTATGACGTCCATTGATGACTTGGAAAACCCCAATAGACAGAAAAACATAAAGGTGAGGAGAATATCAGAGGCTACTGACCCACCAGATCTTTTTCCTACCTTACAGCACATATTTAATGGCCTACATAACCACTCCCCTGAGGAAGAACTCCCTTTTCACAGAGCACATAGAGCTCTTGAACCCAAAACCCCAGGGATGTAATCTGCTGAGTCAAATGTTTTGACTTCAGTTCTGTTAAGAGCTTTGACATGCCTGTTCTTGCTCTGAATTCAGAGCAAGCTCCTTTCTATAGGTTCTACTGACACTGATTGGCTGATCTTAGTAGAATAACAAAGATTATTACAATATATTTGGTGACAGGTTTAATTGAAACGTAATATTTAGTATATAATAATGTACATATACATAAACAACAAAAGTTGTAGTGGGATTTTCTTAAGAGAGGACTCAGATGGTTAGAAAATCGTATACATTTATTCAGTTCATAAAAATAATTTCTCCATGATGAAAGTTAAAATTGAAGTTAATATACAGTATATACATGATTATCGAATCCCTAAATTCCTTGCATATAGATCATACATAATTAATTGTCTATTTCCTAATATTAATCATTTATCCTTCATTATATTACATATACATATTTGTGCCGCTCCATTGATCCCCTACGCGTTTCACATATGAGCTTCTTCAGGGGGTTCTATTCTCGGCAACAAATCCAGGGATCAGAGGTCATATAGGGATCCAGTTCCAGGAGGACAGGACCAGTTCCAGTCACCCCCAGAAAGTTCGAGTAGCGGAGCCACAGATGCATAAAAAGGTCCAGCAGAAATTTTGTATCTTCAAAATCTACACAAAAGATTTTCCTCCTCGAAATCCACCCGTTTGTTCTTAGTTTCCTATTACGTTCTGTCTGTGTCCTCCTCTCCTGTATGTCTCTCTCGCTTTCATATGTGCCTCTCACTCACCTGGGTGTAGATCTTGGAAAGTGCTTTTTTTTAAGTGATAATAGTATATAATAATACCATTCAGATAAATTAACTTCACAGTGCTGTTAATAATATAGTGATTCTTTGCTGAATTGACAAATACAAATTGATAGCCTGTACCTGAAGGTTACATTTTTGCTCTTCCGTTGGACGATCCAAAAGATCATCTATATCAATCTCTGGCTCTGCAGCTTCATCCCTCAGGCCCTCCTGTTGTAAGACAAAATATTAGGAATAAAATTAAATATCATGTTGAAAACAAACTCTGATTAGAATTGTGAAAAGAGTCCACACAAAGAGCAAAGATTACAATAAGTGCCCATGCAGTAGCAATAAGAGGCATGCGGAAACTAAGAAATAGGATACTTCTTATCTAGTTATTGTTTTTCTGGCATTGCATTGGGGTTTTGTGACCATTCGAATACATGGAGTTTAGTTCTGCTTGAATTCCAATTTTCCTTTTGT